TTATTTTATAATAAGTTATTGTATGTTCCACTTTTGGACAATCATAAATAATTTTAAATTAGGCGGTTACTCATGGTGTGAAAAAATGCCCAAAGGGGGACATAAGCTAAAAAAAAGTTGGGGAAAAAATGCCTTAGATGACTTCCTCACGTATTTGACTAAATCTTACAATGAGTTAGTTTACCGGTAATAAGAATAACATTATAGTTTTATAGTAATCGATGATACGATTTGTTGTCATGAAAAGGAAAGAAGCAATTGGATGGCTGATAAAAAGTTTAATTTAGTCCACAAAAAATGTATTCTGAAAATATCTATGAATTTCCACACATAATGTAGATGTTATATACGTTTGCCTTTTTTCATAAAGCGCTTTCAGGGTTTTACTGATACACATTCTTGAAGATGTTTCAACTCTGTTGCAATAGGCCCCTTTACAGCTTATTAAAATATAATTTTGTACTAAAAATCTTGCCATATGGCAAGAATCAATACATTAATCATGGGAAATTAAAACAGCTTACTTTCTAATTTCCTGTTACAGCTAGCAGTGCTGCAATTCTAACCCTCGCTTTTAGCCCGCACTGGACCTTGATGTTCTCGCTGTGCTTCAGTGACCTTTCTTTTCTGATGTTTTAATCTTTTAAACAACTGTATGTACTAATGTTTATTTAAATGCAATATAGTCTGTAGTCAAAGCGTCAATCTAAAGTCACCTTTGGTATAAATAGGTCATTCTTTTCAGTCAGACTTTAAAGACAAAGAGTCCCATCCAGCATTTGGATCTAGTGACTGGACAACACAGCAGGAAGGTAAATCCTAGTGCTTTCTTTATTCCACTGCCCCCTGACCTTTTGTATAGGTTAAATCCGGTTTATAGGGTCTTTGAGAAACCTGAGAAGCTAACAGAAGTGTCGTCAAGGCTCACTGAATGAGAACAAGTAGATGGTGCATGAGGTCTTTAAACATGTCAGAATAACAAGCCCATATTTGTGTAACCAAGTATTTTTTACTTATTCTTTGAAGTGTATCGTTTATTGTGCTTGATTCTCTGGTATTTAAATAAGCTTTAGCATCGTGGTGGCTTCTGTTCTACTGCTTTGAGACTTGACCTTGGCAATTACCACTGTCTGAACAGAGGAGACAGTGTAGTGGATGGATAACCTTTGGATTATCCTGCTAAGCTGAACTAGCAACATTAAGGAAACTGCAAAAGGGCATTTGCATTTCAACAACTATACCATTATAATGAGAGCAATTCAGGGTGACAAATTCTGGATATCAATTCAGTTGTATATATAGTGCGATTTCAAAACACATATAATCCTAAGGCACTTCACATAGACAATTCAACCAGACGATACAGTCAGATTGGTTCAAAGTTTTCTATTTCAAATTTCCTCTGCAAAATTCTACAAATCGAAGCCCCTAGCATTATTTTAAATGATAAACATTTGGTCCCTTATTTCCCAGGTTGACAGTGAAAATTGTCTGAAACAACTTTGATTGACACAAAGCAGAATGTTTATTGATCATTTATTTGTTTTAAGATGCTCTGTGCATGAAAAATGGACTTTATTATGGATTCAAAAGAATTTTCATCCTGAGTGATTTTTTTCCCTAAGTAACACAACTCAGATGGAAAGGGATACGTCGATTATACAGAGGGAGCTTTCCAGCTGTAACTGCAACTAAAACTTTGATACTTTTGGATAGAGGGTTAGGGTTAGAACATCCTGAACAAAAAGGATTGTAAAATCTGGTGAGTTTATGGATTAGATTGCAGCTTAACAATCAATAAATCTTGCAAGTCAACTGTTTTAAAAGTTGCCTCCCCCAGATCATTCCTACTTCAGATCGCTATTTCAAACCCCCTTATCTCTGTTGGATATAGTCTCCATAAAGTGGAAAGTATCTCTGGAAATTAAGTTAATTTTTATAATAAGACCCTCTTCCTGCTAATTTTGGACACCTGTATCCTGTCATAGTTAATGCATCCTGTGAGGTCAGAGGATCTCATTCTGGAAACAGATGCAGCAAGCATCAGCATGAATGCCGGCCACCCTGCTGTCACTGCGTTGTTTGCTGTATGGAAGCCAAACAGAGCCCTTGACGACGAGATAAGGCAACCTCCGGTAAAGAAGGAGAGAAGAGGAAAAAAAGAAAAACATATTGCAAAAGTAGGTATGTAGTATGGTAAGTGAGTCAAAATGAACCAGAACATTACCTGTCAAGCTGTGGTTCTGATTGGAATAAAGGTCTAAGAGTATATCTGCCCCTCATTAACAGACAATAACTCACAAGGCTAAGCCAAAGTTAGTGCAGCCTGTCATTATGGTTATATTAGTCACTGACTGAGCCACATTTGTGATCATGCTGATCCAAGTCACAGTAGAACCTTCTATAAATACTCTGAAGTCGTCTGGATGCTTGGGAACAAGCAGTTAGTCGGGGCCAGATGTTCTCAAGAGATTTAGCCTTAGATATTCAAATACAGTAACAGTAATAATATGTGGAATGCAGGGAATCCCCAAATCACAAATTAACTAAGTTTCTAAAGCTATAATACATAAAGAGCAACAGTTTAAACCAAATATTTGCATGTGCTGTATAAAGCAACCTGTCCCTTTTTCTTACTGTCTGATAATCAGAGGTAGTCAGCTAAATTTTAGTTTCATATATATATTCTAAAGAAGATTAACTTAAGACCTTTTTTAATGGTACCTTGTATGTGTTACAGCTTTAGAGTCAAACTACTTGGAAAATTATATGATCATTTGCAAAGCCTTGTCTTTTCTCATCCCAGCAACCGGTCTTTGCACAACTGTGTGCATCTTCCACACAAGCAAACACAGCATACTGCAGTTTGCAGTGAATACCAGTTACTTTTTAATATCAGGATCATTTTCTCTCTGTCATTATGGCTCTAACAAGATGTAGGAAAATTCTGGATTTCGATCGGCATTAATCCAACACACACACCAAACTCAAATAGCAACTTCTCTTGTCTTTCCATTTTGAAGTGTACCAAAGAAAAAACATGAAGTCACACTGTCTAGGAAGTTCCTAGACTGTGTATAAGAGAATTATCTGTGATCTAACTCTGAGTTTCTCGTTAGTGCCCATATGCAGTAATTACATGGTCATAAGCCTCTTAATTACTTTTTACTTTGGCCTGATGAGGGGTGTTTCTTTCAAATCGACTTACTGTGATTAAATATGTGTGGTTGTTCAATGATTTCCTTTCCCTTTTCAAATCTTCCACGGCTCATATAAAGATAATGAGAATGGCAGCACTACCCGTGATATACAGCAAGGGCCTGTCTGCTGATAAGAGAAAGAACCATTAATCTCTCTAAATCCTCCTGTTTGGAGCACTGACCCCTCCTCCACATGGTCTTCCTCCACCCCCTCTTCCCATGCTGTCACTCTCAGCCTGCACCTGTCACATTAGTCTCACATCCTCAGCTGCCTTTCCATATGATACGCCTCCTTCCTGTTACCAGAGACTATGTGTCATCCCTTTTGCATAGATTTATGAGTATTAGAGGGGGAAAGCATAGAAAAAGGTGAGATAGATTCAATACTAGAAATGTATGTGTCAACCCTAAGTGGCTCTATAATTCTGTGCTTCATCTGGACTGGATTCATGCTTGTGCAAAAGCCAAAATATGGATTAAATACAATAAGATCCGGCAGAATCATGTATATATGTGACAAGACTAATCCTGCTTAAATGTGTGATGGCAGGAGAATTAAAACAACATATTGATAACAAATTGGTGTGTTGATAAAGGCAGCAAGTAGCAGAGAGCAGAAGGTCCAGAAGGGAGTAGTTTTGGGGGATCAGCCTCCCTGACAGATGAACCAGAGCAGCTGTGGCAACAAACTGGATGAAATCAAGAATTAACAATCCTCACAGCAGTTTTTTTTTTTTTTGCTGAGTCAAGACCTGTGAGATAACCAGGGGAAGCAAGAAAATTCATAAAACAATTGAGGACTTGATTAGTTAAACCTTTTTTTAGGTCTTCATATATGCGTTGAACTTGAAACTAAAACAAAGTTAAATAGAATTGCTCCTATAGTACTGCAAGCAAGAGTCTGAGGCAATTGCATTTGAGATATATTTAATGTAAATGTATTAGCTATGATTTTGAAATTACTCCTCATAGCTCTGCAAGCCTTAGTGTTGCAGCCACCTAGTATAAGTATAAGAATGGAGCATCATTGTTGTTACATCATGCAGAATGCTATAAAGCTACCCCTCCATTCATGTGTTAGAGTGGCCCAGTCAAAGTCTTTAGAGATCAAAAAAATTTAAATCAACTGCAAAACTTTGAAACTGCTGTTTACAATTGCTATAACTCAAACTATGTGTTGATGCAACATATAAAACCACTATAAAATCTATCCATCCATTATCTGACATGCTTGACCCAATTGGGGTCGCAAGAGGTGCTGGTGCCTATATCCAGCTGTCAATGGGTGAGAGGTGGGGTACACCCTGGACAGGTCGCCAGTCCTTCGCAGGGCAACAAACAGGACATACAACCATTCACACATACACTCACACCTAAGGGGACTTTATAGAAGCCAATTAACCTAACAGTCATGTTTTTAGACAGTTGGAGGAAGCCGGAGTACCCAGAGAGAACATACGCATGCTCAGGGAGAACATACAAACTCCATGCAGAAAGACCCCGGCCTGGAAACGAACCCAGAACCTTCCTGCTGCAAGGCAGCAGTGCTATACACTGCGCGACCCAACTATGAAATCTATTAAAGTTAAAGCATCAATCATAAAAATATGATCAGGTTACAGGGGTGTGAATATTTTTGCATGTGACAGCTTTAATAAAATTCAGGGAATATAACAGGTGTTTACACTTAATTAATCTAAAGTCAACAGATTTGACGCGTTGTATCCAGCAGGGATATAACGCATACGCTGACCACATGCCTGTAAACAAGTCATTTATCAGAGAGGGAAGGACAGAGAGGACGGCGCGCTGAGGCGGTGGAGACATGTCACTTTCTTTGCGTGCGCGCGCGCTCGGGCACGCAGCGGGATTATCATTACGCACGTTATGCGGAGCGCTGTTTGGTTGATGCGTTTAGTGGAGAGGTTTAGCGGGGAGCTGTGAGCGTCAAACCGGATAGTCAGCGACAGAATCAGCACAATAACCGGAGAGGGCAAGATGCGGGGGGATATTGACTCGTTTGCAGTCGGAGAAGATGCGCACCACTGAACAAAGGATTTAGTTTTTAGCCTTTTTTATGTAAGGAAACGGAATCTCCCTTGTATTTCAACCCTGACACCATCAACCGTTAGGATCAATGTCCGTTTGGCTCTGACGGGCTGAATCTCCGCTGCTTTGGTGTCCATGTGGAGCGACAGGAGCGTCAAACGCAGCAGGCTGAGCTCAGTCCGAAATGTGACATTTTTTAACTAATACTCAGCACCCCCATTTAAGCTTGCGACTGTGAACCCCCCAATACCAGATCACATCTGTTTACAAAGATCAAGGTAGGAGCTGGTCATTGAATACTGATTGATTAAATCATGGGGGTGGGGAGATCCAAGCCCCTGGTTAATTTCGATTGTTGTGTTCTAAATATATCATTCAGATTATGTTTTATTTGGAATCGGGTGTTTTTTTTTTTTTCTTTCATAAATGAATCAGTAGTGGGAGAAAAATACGATGCAAATGCACCATTGCTAGGTTTGTGACGATGGGAGGCTGCATGGACACGCTCCTAACCTTAAGGGTGCATTTAAAAAAACAACAACAACAAAAAATCTAAGTCACATCAGATCTGTGTAAGACTACTGGTTTTTAAATCGTTTGTTGTTTTTTTACGCAGTTTTTTCATGAAACAAGGCGTTTGAGTTTTCTTGGCTGCGCCTCCATTTTCATCCCACATCACATACTATGAGGGGAGGCATGGGGGTTTCAGCAGTGTCAATCAATTCTCTGTTCTCCAGCTTGGAGGTTAGATACCATTCTCTATTTTTGGATCTCTCACACACTCACGCATCTCAGCAACAATGGTTCATTGCTGCTTCCCCCCTCAAACAAACACACTCTTCTGGAACCCCCAGGGACCCTCCCATGTGGCCTTTATTGTTAAACGAGATGGGTGTGTGTAGAGGGAATAGAAAAAAAAAAAAGAGTATTTTTCTAAATGTGTGATTGCATTTAACTGCCCCTGCAGGTCAACTAAAAACTAAAGGGAGACACCAAGATTTTTTCCCCCTCAGCACTGGACCTAAGAGTCTAATTTGACCTGAGCATTTTGCATGGGAATGGATGGCAGACTTTCTGTAGGTCATTATATGACATATGAGCCTGTTGGCAGTGCTCTATTAAAGCTCCTGGGCCTTTTTTTTATTGTGTTCTGTTTTCCCTCATGAATCAATATTCAGCTGAGTGGAGCTGTTTATTTTCAGACTGTGCATTCATCAGTTAGTTAGTCCTCTCTTGGGAAGAGATGACACTACCATGTCCTCCAGGCTGAAGCCATATGTAGCCAGTATGGATTACTGCACCGAGCCTGGCAATCGTGTTAATCCCCCCTGTGTTACAACCATAAACTTAAATGTTTTTTATTACGATGTAAATGGGATAAATCAATGTAACTGGGCTGTAAATAGTAAAGACGAAGATATGTGGTTCCTACATCTGTTCATGTTATAGAAAGCTGAATAGTTCGGTGTGCATATGTATTTAGCTTCCTACCATTTTTTGCTACTATCTCAGCTGCACCTTTTTAGGGTTCAAAATGTCGGTCTTTGCATATTTAGAGAGACATTTTGCATAATCCTGTTCAGAATAGCATAGGACGAGGAGCACCTTAAGAACATCAAATCAGAAGTGTTGCCATATATTTTTAATGTGATTCACAGAGGTCAATTTTGGGCTCATCTGCCGTGATTATCTTACAACTGTGTTGAAACACGATTTCTCTAGTGGTTGTCCTGTCAACAGATGTTTTCCACTGTGGATCTCTGCAGCTCCGCCAAGGTTACCTAGACCATTACCCTACAGCAATTTGAGTCGAATGTTTGGGTTGGCTTTGCACAGTTATGCACCAAGGCTTAAATTCCCTGCACAGTCTTGTCGATCTTGCTCATGCTCAGTCACACTGGACACATACATTTCTAACTCTTGTCACAACTTAATTTGGATCTGAACTTTGTGTGGTTCATCCATACCTTGATTTTACACCAGTCGTTTAAAGCTGTGGCTGTATTTTTAGAGTTGTTGTCCTGCTGGAGGGTGAGCCTCTGCCTTTGACCCTTTCCATACAAAGAAATGCTTGAGTATATCCAACAAGCCTCTTGTTTGAATGAAGGGTCCTGTCCAGACAAAGAGGCTGCAAAACCAGCAACATTTGAAATTTACTACAAGTTTGAAGAAGGTGGAAGTTTGCCCCCATGGTGTCTCCATTTGGAGAGCCCTATCTGCATGTCAGCCAACGTAAATTTTATCATTCTTCACATGCATAAGCTAACACAACATTTTCAGTCATCTGGGTTGTGTCATGTTTCATGCTATTATATTTATTGTGGATTTTACACTTACATAAGTTGCATGAATCCTCTGTCATTATTCCAGAAGAAAATGCATATTTTCTCCCTCCTGTCTTCAGTGTTTACACCCTGTTCTTCTTCCTTCCTTCTTCTAACATTTTTCTTCAGTGACAGCATTGCATACATTACAGCTCCTCTGGCCTCATTCAGTTTTATCTTCACACTAAAACTTTTCGGTCCAGATAACTTATCCAGCTTCATGTATCTTTAGTCCAAAATCTGCTGGATTCTCTAATGCCCTTTTTGACGATAGTCCTATTTATTTAGCTCCATCCATCACATGCATTAGTTTTGATCAGCATTCCTGCCTCTGCTGAAGAAAACAGCCTGGTGCTCCAGCCACCATGTTAACCGTTAGGGGTGTTTGCAGGCTGGTGTTAATCTTAACTTCTTGTAACACAAAGCATTTTGTATTTAGGCCAAAAAGTTTTAGTTTGGTCTAATCTGACAAAAGCTTCTAATTTCACATGTGTGCAACGTCCACTAAAAGGGTTGTGATAAAATCTAAATGGAGCTTCGTATGTTTTTCTTTAATCCATGATTTTTATTTCTTGGTAATAATTTGTAAAGAATGTCAGAGTGCACAACAACCAGTTTTACTTTCAACAGATTCTCCTGTCTGACATCTAAATTTAAGCAGCTCCTTCAGAGTTATCCATTGGTCTTTGGCAGATTTTCTGATTAATGATCGTCTTGCCTGTAATAAGTTTTGCAGTGCTGCCATGCTTTTTCCATTTCAAAGTAAGGGGATTGAAAGATGCTCTCTAAGATAATCAGAACTTGCGATATAGATTTTTCAGCCAATTAAATTCAGTTTATTTTTTGTTTTCTGACAAAATTGTATTTATTTTGAGATTTAATTACACACAGTGACCTCAACAGGTCATCTATTGCACTGGACTTTATTTAGGGTTTTTAAAGAAAAGAGGGGTATAAAAAAAACAATGGCACAAAATTAGGAATAGCCATTGTTCCTGTACTTCACACTTCTTTAATCATGTTTTCTTTATGAAGCCAGACTGTTATGAATACTGGAACTTCTTAACTTCTTTCTTAAATGCACAATAGCGGAAAGTGCCTCACTGCTCCAAGCATCCAGCTGTTCCTGTCTCCTCCTGCCCCTCTGATCCATATCACGATTTCAAACTCAATCTGATCCCCTCAACCCGCCACCAACCCCCCAGTCATCCCGTTTCCGGATCTCAATCTATAATTGAAGATGCTTAATCATATTGCAGTGGAGCAGAACACATGACACCGGAGCTGTGAGGGCTCAGAATACACTTTTACGTGCCATGGCATCCGACCAATACTGTATCTGTTATGGTGAAAGAAGAGGAGGGAGGGGGTTAAAATGTTACACTGTCTCTGCTAATTGCTAAGTCAATTAGCATATGGTCTTACTCTTAGCTCAGTCAAATGATAATGAGAGATAATTAGGGGGGGCAGGGATCCTTGAGGAGACTAGGAATGAATATATGCACTTATAGTTTCCATAAATTGGCACCCAAGAGGCTAGAAATACCTAATTCTTTTAAGAATGCATGAAATTGTCTCTTTCTTGTTTCCTGAATTTTTTTCTGAATCTCACACACTCTGTCAGATATCTGTCAAATCCACATTGTAAGACTTTAGGGATTGATGATTATCCTTAATTTATAGAGGCTCTGACACTCCGGGGTTTTGATTAGGCTTCCCTGTAAGAGCACATCCCTGCATGTTATGCAACAATAAACAAAAAAAAAAAAAAAAAAAAAAAAAAATTCCGTAATATATTGCTTTAAAGGGGACATTTTGCATCCAATCGAGTCAACCTAACACTCTTATTTTAGGATTGTGGGAGGAAGCTGTAGTACTCTGAGGAAACCTACGCATGAGAGTGCAAAAACTACTGAGCATGAGATGGAGCTCGAAATAATCCAAAGTCTTACTCTCTCTAATAGTTTTTATTCACCTGAGTGTAATTAAAAGTACACTACTATTTGCACTACCTTGTATATTTTACTTTTTATATTTTTTATCCATATTTTTATTCTAAGTGTATATATTAGTCTATTTTTTGCATGCCTTATACCCACAGTGTTTTTAGAGATTTTTATAATTTTATTTACCTATTCCATATTATATGTTTCATGATGCACGATTGTACCATAATAAATTCCTAGTTTGTGAACTCCTTCACTAACAATTGCAATAAACCTGATTCTGATTCTGATTATGTACCATTAGATGGTAGAAATTATGCCTGTACCTTCAACAAAAGTTCCCCTGTGATCACCACTTCCCACCTAACCTACCATAATGCCAAATTCCTCACTTGTGCTTTTTTATTTCAACTTTTCTAAATGTTACTAGCTGCTATAAAGGATAAAGGAGGAGCAAAAGTATTCCCATATTTGTGTCCACTCTGGAAAAGAGTGAAGATACAGGAACTGAAATGATCAAAAAATGGAAAATAAAATGAAAAGGACAGAACGATCTAAAAGATGACAAGAAAATCCTAAAATTCAAATTTGTAAGCAATGTACATGAAAAAAAGCCCATAAAAAAGCACATTTACTAAAGAATTCCCACAGCTTTGGAAATCCTATGTAGTTACCTTTGCAGTTTTCTTTTTAGTGTGTCTGACAAATTGAAACGTATAACGACAAGTCCAACAATTTAGAAGCCCTTATTACCACATTTTCTCATTTCCTCCGACTAAAGATACCTTAGAAATTTAGCTTAATTTCAAATTATCCTAACCTATGACTAGACTGAGTAGTGAATTGCCTACATAAAAAGTAAAGAGAGATATGACAGCTTTTTAGAAACTTGTTCTAATGATTGTTCTAAGCTTTTCCATTTAGATAATATAGATAATCTTTGCTCCTAAATTGCCTTTTAATCCCAGGATTCACTAAGGTTAATGAAAATCTTCAGACTGCAAGGAT